ACTGGTTCTGCACAAGGGGCCCAGGAAGAGGAATGGAACAACCCTAGCCAGCAGCAGCCCAGGCCAACCCCACACTAATTCACAGATTGGATATTTCAACAATGACAGCCACGGACAGTGCACTCTAGAGCAGCCAGTGGAGCGATGGCCAAATGGAGAAATGTAGTAGGGGCAGCCCTCCCTCCCTCCCTCCCAGTCCTCCAGCTCTGAAGTAGGGCCCAGACCTACCACCTGTGAGAACAGGGGCAGACCTTTGCCTGTTTCCTTGATGCCACTCTCCTGGGCAGCAGCCAGGCCACCTGCCAGTGCACCCCCCCCAAGACTGAACTACCTGTGGACAAGGCCCGGGCCCCACCCTACAGCCTAGATCTGTGGAAGCTCAGACCCCAAACACAAGAGCAGTAAGAACACAGCTCCCAGCAGTACTTATCTCCCCTCTCCTCCCCCTAGCAGTGGCCCTCAAGGGTGGGAAGCAGTGCTGGCCATCATTCTGGTTGGCCTCACCGGTCAAGCTGAGCTCCCTAAGAGGCACACACCCGAGAGCCACAGAGACACCATGCACAGGCATGCACACTCCCAATCCAGGCCAGACACTGTAGAGAGCCATGTGCCCAAGGCCCAGTTACACCGGGAAACAGCCAGTCACAACCTACCACCAATCACTGACCCGATACAACCTGCACCAGGCACCAGGCATCTCAGGAGCCAACAGAAGAGTCAACAAGCTACAGGATACGGCCGGAGGAGAAGGTCTGCATACAGTGGTAAGCTCAGAGGTCAGTGTGATGGAGACAGTCTGCCCCTCCCAGGCAGACGAAATCTGAATGGCTGCCACCAAAATGCTGATGGTGGGCAAAGGCAGGCCGCATGGGATAGAAGACAAATACAGGAAGGTCCACCCTGTCATCTTACGTGAAAACAGTGCATAAGAGCCAACCCTAGCCATTCTCCCCAGCAGTGGGGTTCCTGGTGTGCTGCCCTTCAGGTAGATAGCTCCACTGCCAAGTCAGTCTCCATCAGGGACCCCACTTCGTTTACCTCTATACAGGCTCAACTACCTAAAAAGCCAGGACCACTGGATGTGGTGGCATCCGTAATCTCAGCACTCTGGGAGACAAGAGGCTCAAGCTTGAGCCCAGCCTGGCTAATGTAGCAACTTAGGAAGCCTGTTTCAATAAGGTTAAAAAAGGGCTAGGGATTTGTAGCAAAGTCCTACGATCCTGGGTCCAACTCTCCGTATGACGAATAACAAAAACACATTAAATTAAAAAGGGAGAACGTCTCACTGTGGTCTGCGGTCAGCAGCAGGATTTTGGGACCCCCACATTTTGAAAAATTCTGGAAACCCATCTTGAGAAGTGCGTTATGGGATATGGCAGGGATGAGGAGTGGCCTGTGCCCAGAGTCCAATGCCCACACTCTGGCAGCCTTGACCAATCATACCAGATACGGCAAACCCAACTGGCTCCAGGAACCCTCTGGCACCTGCCACCTTCACGGGACAGCTGCACCAAGGCCAAGCCAACTTCCTGCCAACAGCTGGGTGGTGAAGAAGACTATCACATGACCTATGCTGACCCCAGCCTGACCACACTGCCCAAGGCCTGGACTACAACACCATGAACAGCTGCACAAGGCCCTGTCCTGCCAGGAAGCTCTCCTACCCTGCTACATTCAGGGATGCCAATACTACTATTCCTAAAGAAGGCGTTGAAACTGCCACCCCCAAGTGTCACAGGTCATCTGAAGGCTGGCTCCTTATTCTCTTAGGACACAAGACCATGACCACAGGAAGCCACGGCCAGCTGCTCAAGAGGCCCCCTTCTCCATGCAGGAACACTTGGAGGACAGCTCAGAGCCCCCTTCAGTTTTGGGCTGTCTTAGTTCTGAATGTGCAGTAGACCTTAACCCAGTCCTTGTCCCTGGATCCTCTCCTCCCTGTCCTCCCCTGCAAAGCCTGAGGGACTAAGGGTGAATTCCCAGGGAATATCATGAAGCTGTCCTATTTTTCTTCCCCTTCATCTTCCATGAAATTCCCCAGCGGACATAGCTCCCAAGGGAACTGAGCCACCAGGAAAGAGGTCAAAGTCTGTGTTACGGATTCTTCCAGGAGGAAAATCAAAACTGAACGTTTTATTCTTGAATTTTTAATCGGCAGGGCCAAGGACAAGCATCCTTCTTTGCCAAGGCAAACACCACTCAGAACTGCAGTTGAGGCGATGCCAGGGCCAAAGCAAACAGCTGAGCCGCATCGCGGGGTGACACTGAGCAGGGCCATATCCCAGCCTTTCCAAGAGGTGATGCCAGCACTTCTGCAAGTGCCAACCTGGGCACAGGAATAGCCCATAGCAAGGACTCTCAGGCAGTGTGGGCCCGAGAGAAGACAGAGCAAGGCAGTGCCTGGACCGGCTGGATCAGCCCAGATCTGCACACAGATGACCTGGGCTGTTTCCTGACTGTGCCTCTGTGGAGGCTGTGTTTCTGCCCAGTCAATGTGCCAAAGCTCTCTCTGTGGTCTGTGGTCAGTAGCAGGATTTTGGGGTCCCCACCTGTACAATGCAGTGAGCTTTCCAGTGACAACACGCAAGAAGGTAACCGAGCACAGGACTCAGCTCGCCACTTTCAGCCTGCTTGTGTACAAACCTGAAAGCAACCCCATCAAGGTCTCATCTGCACACCAGAACAAAATGTAGAACCTGTGTAGTTAGTGTAAACCTCAAGCCTGCCAGACTGCGGCCAGAGGGGCTAAAAGGGCCCAGGCACCCTGATCTGGGCAGTTTTTCTGCCACCACAATGAGTCTCCCTTTAGCCATCCAGGTTGAGGACAGTTGGGGGAAGCTGCAGCGCGGTAACTGCAGGGCTGACCGATGGTACACCACAGTCCTTAAGGGTGCCCAAAGAATTCCCCAGGGTGAAGCCACTGCACACATCCCTCGTGAGCCTCGCTGTGAAAGTTCCTGTTTCATGGTTTCAATGCAGAAACAGGAAAAATGGGAGGAAAAAAGACTGTGACCACTTCTCTTCCACACTCCACAATAATGAGCAAACTGAAATGGAACTAATGACTAATAATTTAATAAACCTCCCTCCCTTGGCAGCATGTGCTTCCACAGAGTCACAAAATCAGTGCTGTACACAGACGCCACAGATTCTACAGGATACTCAACATAAAGCCCTGAAGGCTGTTCCCAGCTCTGTTTACCAGCAGCACCAACATGGCTTCAGAGCCTTCTTAGCACCCCCCTCCCGCCTTCGGGATTCCTCCAGATCCACTGGCTGCAACTTTAAAGCTCTGATTCAAAGCTGTATTAAAGTATATAATCTGCTCCCTGGACTCCAGCTGAAACCAAACGGGCCACCCCGGAAGCTTCCATCTGGCTGGTGGCAGCCTGAGGGAGCCAGTTAAGAGGTTTCACAGGCCACTGGCTAACAAGGTACAGCCATGGCTGGTTAACACAATTAGAAACTGTTGCTCTGAGAACGGGTCGCAAGCCCATTCAGCGGCCATGAACCAGCAAATCCGTGTGAATACCAGCTACTCTAATCGTCAGTGTTTCACTTAACCTTCAGACAGTTGTGAAAGAAAGCGTATCTTTGTAGAAGGACGCCATGGACCGGCCAGGGCAAGGTTTTCTCTCTTGAGAAAATGCCCTGGGGAGCTGCAGCCTGCCTGGTGCCACCCGGAACGCGGCTGTGTGGCTGGGGCTAGGGGTCTGGACTGTGAGAAGGGAAGCTGGAGAATAGAACACCCAGGGCCTGTCCGTCCGTACACAAGGCACAGGCATGCCCGGCAGGGAGCAGAGAATTGGCTTCCAGGGGTTCTGCGGTTGTTCCAAGAGAAACTGTCATTTCACAGATGAGGACGTGAATGCGACTCCTAACACATATCTGTAGCAAAGGCAGGCGCGTCAGCCTCCTACACAATTAGTCTTCTCCCTCCGCGGTTACATAAGATGATGGATTATCTGTCCACCCATCCAACCTGCCCGTGCTCGACCTCGACCTCCCACCTTGGACCACGTCCTTTACACGGGGAGAGAGTTACGGAAAGCGAAAGCCTGTTGCAAAGAAAGTGCCTAAAGGCTGGCGTAACTGCGCGTGGAAGAACCCCACGGTGCCACGGTGCCAACCGGGCTCAGGGCAACGGGCGACGACCTGCCGCCCCCACGACCCCCCCCCACAGACCGCTCCACTCAGGTCCCCCGCGGCTCGGAAGGGACCCGAGGGCTCCACGACCGGACCGGGTGCGGCTCGGTTCCCTAGACGCCTCCCAGGATGGGCGCGCAGAGGGGCGCGCGGGGGCCGCGTGGCGCCGTCGGAGTGGGGGCGCCCGTCAGAACCGCGACGGGCGGAGGGGGCTCGGGCGGGCGCGGCCACCTGTGACTGGCCGGCGCCGGGCTCTCCACGTCCGCACTCAGAGGCTGGGCAGGAAAATTCTGCGAGGGCGCCGGCCGCTGGGGCAGCCCGGTTAGGACCGGGCCACGGGGGCAGACTTAGCCGGGCGCTGGCGCTCACCTTGTAGACATTTTCCGTGAGCCGGTGCATCTCCTCTGAGCGTGACAGCGACATGGCCTTGGGTCCCGGCTGTACCACAGACCAGGGCGAGGCAACGGCCAGCGGAGGAGGCAGCAGCAAAGGGAAGTAAAGACGCGCGGACCCGAACTACAGAGCAAGGCGCCGGGCGGCAGCCAACTTTATAGTCGCGGTAGGCCCCGCCCTCCACGGGCTCCTCCCCTCTCCCCGCCCCCGTCGCGCCCGGATCACCGCCCCCGGTTGCCCGCCCCCGCCCAGCCCCGCCGCTGCTAGGCAACCGCCAGGCCCGCTACAGCGCCGCCTTTCCCATTGGTGAATTCCGGGGGCGCGGGGCGGAGGGTGGGCTCAAGGGCGTGGCCCGGAGATCAGCTCCCGGCGGCGATTGGCCGGCGGCGCTGTCGATCCCGGAAAGCAGGCGGAGGCGCGGCGTGGGCTGGGGCCGGAGCTGACTGAGGGGGCCCCCCGCGACAGCCGGGCTGGGGGCGGGGAGCGGGGGCGGGGTGGCGCAGGAAGAAGAAGCAGAAGGTAGGGGGAGGCAGCGGGGTACCGCCCGCGCGAGCGCGCGTGGAGGCCGCACTCTGCGGGGCCGTAGCCCGACGGCCAGCCCACTGGGCTCGCGGCCTGGCGCTGCGGAGGGTCCGGGTGTCCGGCCTGGAAGGCGGACGGGCAAGTTAGTCGCAGGTAAGTCCGCGAGGCGGGCGGCTACCCAGCGGGCCTTCGGGGAGCCAGGAGAACCGCGGCAGGGGCCGGGTAGGGTCCTGCCCCAGGCAGATGGGCCCTCTGGCGGCGCCAGGAGGTGGGCAGGCGCGCGGGTTGGGGGGCACTTGGACCCAGGATTCTGGTAGGGAAGAGGACCCTGGGAGAGGGGAATCGGGAGAGTGGGGGTTGGGTACAGCATTCTTCCGCAAAGAGGGGGACCTGGAGAGGGAGAGGACACTAGAGGGGAAGAGCCTCATAGGAGCCAGGAGGGATGGCGTGGGGAGGGCGGTGCTTGGAGCCGAGGAGGAGGAGCGCGACCAGAGCCGCCTGGTGTTAAGGAAGGTCCTCAGCCGCTCTGCTGAGAGAGATGACCGGAGTGGCACATGGGGTGCCAATACAGTACCTTAGGAGAAATATTTACATAAATTAGACGAACACGGAAGAATTATTTGCTTTACGTTGTAAAACACGAGATCTGAATGTTTAATTAAACCTGACGCTCTCCACCAGCATCCTGTTCCTGGACAGCCAGCCACTCCGTTTATTCCATCAACAGCAGGCTTCCAGAGAACACAGATCCCACAGGGCGGCTGTCAGATCCCCAGACAGACAGCAGGAAACGGGCAACTCTCATGGGCTCCGACTCACGTGGACGAAAGAAAAGGGAAGTGGGATCCAGGAAGGAGCGCAGGCAGCAGCTTGCCTACTCTGCCTGGCTTCCTTTCCTTCTAGTTGCCGACATTGGCCTCCTCCATTTCTTTCTTGCCCCTCAGTGTCTTAAAGTACATTCTTGTGCATTTCTCTTCTGTGATTCTTTTGGTCACAAGTGACAGAAAGCCAGCTCAGTCTGGCTCTTCCAAATGAGGGAATTATTAACTCGAGAGTCTAGTAAGTCTCAAGGTCTGTCTTTCTCCTTTTCAGGGTCAACATGGTCCAGTGCACACTCCGCTGGGCCACTTAACATACTGGCTTTTTTTTTTTTTTTTTCCTTTTTGGTACTGGGAATCAACCTCAGGACCTTGCACTTGCCAGGCAAGCACTTGTGCTGCTGAGTAACATCCCTGGCCTAACATTCTGGTCTTTGGATTAATCCTGACCTGAGCCAACCTGGAGCTGGTGGGCGCAGGAGGTCAGCCTTTGCTTGCGTAAAGGCTGTGGTATCTGGAATCCAAATGATGGGAGGCTGACGGTGAAAACTGAAGGCTTCTCACTGGGATAGGGGAATTGGCCTGAGGAGAATTGTCCTCCAGACCTTGGTGCTCTTCCCTGCAGCCACAAGACCTAAGGAAAGGTCAGGGGAGCCCATTCAAAAGAGCTTTCTTATCCTGGCCTGTTCTGAGAAGTTTCCTGCGGACTTTCCTGGGTTGCCCTGCAAATGATTGTCCTGTGCATGTCTCAGGGGGCACACTTGCCCATGGTGACCTGAAAGACTCAAGAGTCCAGCAGCCTTCCAGCAGACTGAAGCTTTGGCCTGCAGCTAGCCAGGCAGCCAGAATAAAAGCCCATGGGGAGAAGACCATCAGAATACCCGGCTCTGTGAAAACCAACACACATCCCATGTATGACCTAGTACTGAGAAAAGGCACTGTGGTTGATGGCAGGCCTGGGCAGGACTGCCTAGGAATGGGGAGCAAGGGGGTGCACATGGGCCTGCCTGTTCTTGCCTTGCACCTCCAGGAACAAGTGCTTGCCTTTTCAGCTCTTGAAAGGAGAGGTTCTGGCCCCAGGGGAGACTTGACCAGGCACCACTGAGGCTTTTCTGAATTAAGCAGTGACTCTTTTTAATAGTGTGGTTACCAAGGATAGGAGCTCAGGGCCTCAGAGTGGTCAGGCAGGCTGGAGGGTAGCGTGTCCACAGACCGGCCTGACCCCAGCTTGTGGTGGCATCTGGAGGGTACTCTGGCCCAGATCCTGTGAGTTTTGGAGGCATCAAGCCCTCTGCAGACGTACCCGCATTCCTGCCTCCCTGACTCCTGATGGCTGGGTAGTCAGCATGACAGGGACCTCGCCCTCACCTCTCCTGCTAGACTGCCAGCCCCCACACCCTTCTGGGCCTTCTGCTTCTCCCCGCTCCCTGGTAGACCCTCCTCTTCCACTCTGCTGGGGACAGGGGTGGAGTTTTCAAGTCCAAGTTCCCAGGTGGGGGTTGGAGCTGGTTTCTGCAAGTGAGCAGCTCCTCGGAAATCACTGAGTGCAGAGACACACGGGAATCCATATGCTCCAGCTTTCGCTCTGCCTTGAGACTGTCCTTCCTTGGCAGGGCACTGCGTTGGGCAAGGGGGACGTAGCCATGGAGATCTGCCGCTCCCCAGCTCTGAACCGGAGGGTCCACTGCGCCTTGTTCCAGCATCAGGCCCTCTGCACACAGACTAGTGAGCTGGGGCCAGGGACAGGAATGACCTCATACCTAGACCTGACCCCCAGAGCTCTGATGCTGACCCCAGGTTGGCAGCACCAGTGGGCAGCGTGGGAGACAGGCGGGGGGCAGGAGCACCAGCGTGCAATGTCTCCAGCAGCTTATTTTTAGTTGCATTATGTAAGTGGCTTCATCTCAACGTCACGTAGGAAGGGGGGTCTCAGATTTAATTACAGGATGACAGCCTTTGCCTTTCAAGCAAGCTGTTCTCCTGGCAAGGCAGGCTCAAGGATTGGGAGTTTTCCCTCAACACAGGCAGTCCATCCAGCAAAACTTAAACTCGTTTTCACCCCTGTCCCCCTCTCTCTCCTGTCGACTCACCTGCTCTGGCTGACCTGGTCTGAGAAGGTGGCCCTTGGTCTGGGAACCCAGGACAGTCTGTGTCTGTTCAGGGAACTTGCTGCATCCCTCCCTTGGCAGTTTCAGGGTCTCCAAGGGGAGGAGCCACCCAGGCAGAACTCCTCTCTCCTCTTTGCCGGTCCTGGAGTGATGCTCTTGTAGCCAGAAAGTCGCTGAGCAGACAGTGGAAGGCACAAGAGCAGGGTTCTCATGGGTTTCTGAGGCAGGGCCAGCAGGGCCGGGTCTGTCCTCTGCTGGCCCTGCCCTGGCTGCCTGCTTCCCTCTAGCAATTCTGGTCTCTGGGAGGAATCCGTCCACATCGCGTGGACACTGCTTTCCCGTTTCCTGGATTCTAAATGGCTTGCCGCCTGCTTTGTGCCCTGGGACCTGCCCATTTGGGAGTCCTGCTCCCTTCCTGCACATGAGCCATCTCAGCCACTTTGTCCAGTGGTCCTGCTTTGTAGAGCAGGACCACGGTTACACTGCAAGCTGTCACCTGAGGAGAGGGTCAGGTCTGACTTGGGAGGGTGTAACTTGAGGGGAAAGTTGTAGGGGGTCAGTTCTGGGAGCTGGCTGCTTCTGCTCCTGCATGGGCAGGATGGGGCTGCTGGGTGGGTTTCACAGCCTGTTTGTCTGTCTCTTTGTGTTTTTTTCACAGCCTCTCTGAATGCCTGAGAATGGAGGGTAAGCTGGGGTAAAGGTCCTCAGAGCCCCTGACCTGGCACACACCACGCCCCCAGTGTGTCTTAGAGGGTGGTTAGGTTGGGTGGGATATCTCCAGAGAGCTCCCAAGCGCTGCCGCCCAGAGAGGTGTCCGAGGCCCCTGCCTCCTTCCCTGTGGGCTGTGCAGAGGCTGCACCCTTCCGGAGTACACGATCCCGAGCAGGGACAGCAGCGTCCTAGAGAGGACCCTCAGCACTGTTCACTTGGTGGCCAAGTCCAGCACCAGTGAGAGGCACAGAGACACTGGCCCCAATGGAATCTGTGGGCGCTTCACTTCTTTGATCTTCCTCTCCAGAACCCTAAACCCCAGGCTAATTGTGAGAAAAATATCACAACTGTCCAGATCATTGAAGAAAGAAGTCTGAGACACTGGCAACAAGAGGAGAAAGGACAGCTAAAGGTCATGTGGGAGGCTGTGTGGGACCTGGGTGCAACCCTAGAGAGGTCTGAATAAACTGCAGTCTTAGTAACACTGTGTCGTTTTTAAGTTAACTGTGACAGATGCACCACATCCCTCTAGGGTGTGTGAATTGTTTGTTTTTTGCACCTGGGTGACTCTGTAGTGCAGGCTGGCCATGAACTCAGAGTGATCTTCCTGTCTCAGCCTCTTCAGTGCTGGGATTACTGATGTGTATCGGCATGCCCTACTTGGGTGTGTGAATTCCCACAGTCACTCTTTGTATAAACCTGAAATTGTCCTGGAGTTAAGTGCATTAAAGAGGGCAGTGGCCGTGGCATCGGCCTGCAGCGGCCTGAAAGTGAGTGCCTGTGTCCCAGCCTGGAACGAGTCAGACCTTGCATCCCCTCTCTGCCCGCCCTGCCCATGTGGAGCCCCAGCCCTTTTTAGTCTGGTACAGCCTGGCTCTTTGCAGAGGGACCAGTCCAGGAAGCTGGTTAAGCTCCTGCTGTGGCCATGGCCACACTATGAAGCTGAGGCCAGGGGGACAGGGTGGCTGCTCTGGTCCAGCCTCCACGCTCTCAGAGGTGGTCTAGAAAATTCCATCCCTAGCCCCCCACTACCACGCGCACCAGGCCAGGCATGCAGAAATGGGGACCTTTCTGCTGAGGGTTGAGAGGATAGGAGACCTTTCCTCTGGGGAGTGGGGAGGGTTCCCCAGGAACTGGCCCCCTCATGTAACCTGCACTTTGAATCAGTGTGACTCCAGGTCCCCGTGGGAGGCAGCATGGGGGTGCGTGCAGGGGCGAGAACGGGCCAGGGAGTTTCCTCAGCTGCCTCTCCTCGCTCATACCAGTGTCGTCATCTGTCTGCCAGCTGGTCACCCATTTACCTGTTGGACTGCGTTAACTGACAGTGCAGACTGTGCTCCAGCAGGTGACAGGCCAGGAGCCCTCTGCACCCACCACGCCCCCTGTGTAAGGTGGGGGACCTGGGTCCAGAAGAAGGACCTGAGTGCCTGAGGACCAGAGCCACTGCCTGCTTTGGGTGCCTGGAGCCGGGCAGTGGGTGGGGAGGGCACAGGTCGGGGTCAGGTGAGCAACCCAGGCTCACTGCACCGGGCACCTTGGGGGCTGGGCTGAGTTTGGGTTGAGGGGTGCGGGTGCCCACAATATGGTACCGTCCTGCCTGGGCAGTGAGGGGAGTGTCTGGGGATGGGTCAACTTGCCTTGAGGTGGGAGATCATGGCGACTGGACGGCAGGAGGTGAGTGACATCAGTGCCTCAAGGGTGTGGCACAGAGAGCAGCCAATGCCTGAAGCCGCTAGGGGCTGCCCTGTACATTGGTTCCCCCTGAGGCTGGGGCTCTCTGGTCACTCAGCCCCTTGCCCGCAAAGCTGAAAGACAAACGGCGTCACACTTGGTACAGTGGCTCATTTCGTGGTTCAACAGGAAGGCTTCTCCTGGTTTTCCGCCCACTCTGCCCCCTCCCTGACTTACACGGCCTTCAAAGGCAGGGGGTGCTGTTGGCTGGGGTGGAGGGAACCCGTTCGGAATCCGAAGTGAGAGGACACTCTGGAAGCCAGGCCTGAGCCAGTCCCTCAGGTCCCATGGTGCACACCAGAGATGGCAGAGCTGCAATCCCAGCTCTGCCTACAGTCAGAAGCCCAGACGTTGACGTTGACGCTCAGCTTCGCAGGCTCGCAGATGGCTTCCCTGCCCAGGGCTGGCTGCTTCTAATTTCAGCTCCTGGAGGCTCCGCATACTCCCTCTCTTTTTTCAATTCCATGTTTATTTAAAGCCAGATTTTGAAATGTTGTCTTCAGTCCTAAAATCTGACTTTTTCTTCTTGCCACAGATGCCAAAATCCCACCTAGGGCCCCAGCAGGGAAAGGACTTTGAGGACAGAGGTCCAGCTGCCCCACTGAAGGACAGGTGATAAACATCTGGAGAACTGGCCTGGGTCCCCTTAGAGCAGCCCTCAACCCTCAGCACAGGGCACCCCGTGTTTCCAGATACAGAGGGAGACGCTATGGTCGTTTCTGTTGGGGCAGGAGCACCATGGCTGGTGCTGGCTGTGGCGACGGAAAGAGCTTCCCTGGCATCAGTCCTGTCCCACTCACCCTGCTGCAGGGCCTCCTGGAAGTGGTTGATAGCAGCCACTTACTGAGCTGAGTCCCCTGTCTTGTTGCCTGGCACGCCACCCTTCCCTCACCTACCTGAGCCATGCCAGTTTCTTCTTCTCTACCAGGAAATCCAGGCCACCAAAGAGTCACGGATTAGAACCTAGTATGCGGTGCACATCCAGCGGGCCAGTGAGTTAACCATAGGCTTTTCTGTGGATTGCTCCACAGGAAAAGGCATCACACGCCCAGTGTTTATTTGCTCAAGGTCAGACTCAGGCCATGGAGACTCGATCTCCTTGCATGAAAGGGGGAGATCTTAGGGAACTGGACAGGGGAGACACAGACCAGCTGCCAGGAATTCGAGGGGGTGGGCACCTCGGGAGAAAAGGGTGTGTGTACCCGACCTGGTGCTAAGGAGGCAGAGGACTGGAGGCTCACTGTGGAACTGTGATGCCCAAGGCTCTACAGGGCAGCCAGACAAGGAGCTGGAGCTAGGGACTTGCAGAGTGGGCACAGCTGGGACAGCTGCCTGAGCACTGCCCGAGGTGCTGGCCAAGTCCCTGCACAGATGCTCTGCCAGTCTCCAGTCAAACTCACGCCAGAGCTACAGGAGGCCAGGGAGGGGTGCCATTTCCCGGGAGTGGAGCAGGTTCCCTCCAGGCTCGGATTCCTGCCAGGGTTGCTGTGCTCTTAAAAAGCAGTGTTGTGGTGGTGTCCCTGGCACATCTGGTCAGAAAGTAATATGCTGGCCAGAAGAACTGAGCGTTAAGTTTTAGAACGCGTTTCTCCCAGCAAGCTTGCTTTCTTCTCACAGAGTTGGAAGACACAGAGATCTTTGTTGAGATTCGTGGAAAACTTTAGCTCTCTGCTAGCTGTCCAGATGAAAAGAATATTCCATCCCCTGGGAAGACAATTGCTTTGCACAAATTTGGGTGACATTTTACCCCCAGTACAACCAGAGGTCGGCCTGATGTGACCTTTGTGAATGTCGCCTCTCTGCCAGCAGAAATGAGGATCCCGCTGAGATCTGGCAGCTCGCCTCCCTGGAATCTGCTATTAATTCTCACCCAGATTTGGAGATTTTTCCTTGCAGCCTTGGGAGCCAACAGAGTCCTTTGTGCAGCCTCAGGACTCAGTTTTCAGAGCCCCAGAGCTGGGGCTGCTGCATTTAGTTGTAATTTCCCACCCTCTTTGGCTCCTAGAGGTCCCTCTGGGAGAACCCTGAGCCCTGGATTTTCATCAAAAAACGTGGACCTGGGGCTGGGGACTTAGCTCAGCGGCATAAGCACCTAACTTGCAAGTAGGCAGTCGTGAGTTCCATCCCTGGTACCGATAAAAAGGAAAAAGACAAAAAAACAAACAAACAAACAAACAAAAAAAAAAAACACGTGGACGTGAAGACTACCGCCGGTACTCGGCTCCCTACTCAGCTCCTCTTTCAAGGGAAGTGAACTGGTGGTTCCTGCTTTCCAAGGCCTGCCTGGCTCTGGCGCTGCCTTTGCGACCAGGGAGATGCTGGGAAGACCTGTCCCCCGGGTGCAGCTTGCACGCTGGACTTAGGACCAGAGGCCTGTGGGGTATGCAGTGGGCTTTGCCGTGTGGCACTGGTGGCCACAGCCTCGCAGCCTTTTTCCTGGCAAGGGGCTAGGAGCTCTTTCAGTTCCCGCCTCCACCCCAAGGCCCGGACTTCAAGAGAGGTGATGAACTGGACATCGGGAATCCTTCGCGCCCCCTGGTGGACACAGTCGGTGGGGCAGGCGTGGAGGGCGTGGGGAAGGCACAGGCTGCTGGTGGGTCTCGGGCAGGAGAGGCACAGGGAATAGTGGGTTTGTAGTGTGCCGGGGTAAAATGACATCCACCTGGCTAGGTGTCAGAGCGCACAGTCTGTGTACCCTGAAGATTGAGAATGTGGAGGAAATGCTTATTGAGAGGCAGCTCCTGAGAAACGCGAGGGTCCTGACAGGGTTGTTGCAGAGGCTGCTTTTCCAAGAATATTTTGTGGAGCAAAATCACAAGCGGGTGCAATGTGAATCGAACTATACCCAACTGCATGAGCAGCAGTGTCCAGTAGGGAAGTGAGGCGGGGCGCCTTGTTCTGGGGCTCCCTGTCCTCCACCACAGCTGAGGTCCTGTTACACAGACTCACTCCGGGGCCCTACCACTTATTTCTCAGGTAGTGGAGGCTTCGAGAGTCCTAGAAAGCTTTCTGGGCTTGATCACCAGCTGAGCCGGACAGTGGCTGGACAGAGATGCTTTGCCCAGGGTTGCGGTGGCCTCTGTGTGGTTCTGGCAGCGACCTTTGTGACAGTTACCATCAGGCAGTCACATGTGAAGACCTTTTCTTCGCAACCTCCCAGCTTTATTTATTTGTTCTTACAGGGCTGGCACAAGACTCCATCCTGAGTCCAATAACTTCCACAGCCCCACCCCAGCTGCTAGCAGAGTCCCTAGGTAGGTACCCAGGAGCAACAAAGAGAGCCCTGTGAGCTGCTCAGGACAGGCCTAGCCCAAGTGGCCTCCTCTTGTCCTCCTGCTCTCCTCCCAGCTGGCCCCAGGGCCCATCCTTTTTTTTTTTTTTTTTTTTTTTTTGAGACTGGGTCTTGCTATGCAGCTCAAGCTGGCCTTGAAGTCATGATGATCTTCCTGCCTGGCCTCCTGAGTGCTGGGATTATAGGCATGCACCACACCCAGTCTCCCAGCATTTTTAGGTATCGACAGCAGCTTCAAAGCAGTAGCTGATCAGCAGCATGATAGCTGGCACTGCCTGACACACCTAGGATTTGTTTGTTTGAGACAGGGTTTCACTGCATAGCCCAGGCTGGCCTTAAATTTACAAAGATCCTCCTGCCTGTCTCCCATATGTTGGAACTACAGGCAAAGGTCCAGGCCTGGCCACCATGCCCAGTCCTCGAATAGCATTAAATCCCCCTCTTCCCAGCCTCATACCC